CCTATATTTATTAAATATCATGTTCTTTGCACTTAAACCATAAAATTCAGTTCAACAGCAATGTCGTAAATTAATTTAAAATGAGCATATCTTTAAAATTTCCTACACGCAGTTCCGCGCCCTGGAGATAAAAAAGTTCCACCCCTCCGTAGAGTGTTGCCATTTTTACTGTGAAAATTTTGTAAATATAACGCTGATTTTTGTTGTTTGACTTCTGAAATAGTAAGGTTTTTATTTTACTTTTGCTTTATGCGATTACGGCGAAGCCACGAAGGCTATCTGCCTAAGGGAAGGGATGCCTTCTCGGAAGACTTTTTAAGGAAAACTGGCTCGTGTACACGTTACACATGGGGAAAATCACAAAAACGCTCATGCAGCCAGTCCGTTCGTAGGACTCGAATTTCGGATCGAACTACTAGTGTTCAGCGACTATTACCGTTCTGCCGCTGGTGGGCTCTACATGAGAAAAGCCATTCTGTTGAAAGTGGTCGAAAAATGCGGTAAGAAAATGATTGGGAATCGTGGTCTAGATTTAAACTTATTAATTAAAACTATGAATAAAGATGCATTATACATTTTGCTTTTTTGATTATATGATGCAAACAAAAATAATTTTATAACTTCAATAGTAAATAAAGCATTCGAAATTATGAAAATATTCGAATCCACGACCAGTAAGCGCCCTTAAAGACTACCTTTAACTATTCTAAAAATTTTTGATCGTCTCAGAAGTTAAAATGATCGTCTGAGAGGGATAACGTTCAATACGGGCTTTATTATACACTGGTGTGCAAAAATTAAGGACGAAGTCGAAAAATTAGCATATCAGCTGAACGAAGAGGCAGAGCGGACAGAAAGACCAATCAGGATTAAGTAAGGTGATGTACGGTAGCACATGCGCAGATACGCAGGTAGACGTAATGGGGCAGTGTCTGAGTAGTATAAAGCATATTGTCGGTGTAAGATCAGTATTTCTGGCAAAGAGATTGCACGCCGTATAGCAGTTAAAATCACACCGAGTCGCTGCCTCAGCGAGAAATGGCGAATAATCAATCTGTTAGACGACATCTGGATGCTTTTACCCGAGGTCGAATCAGTTGTTGGAGGAAGTTGGAGTTGGATCAGAAGTTGGAGGAAGACCGCAGTGTGACAAGTGTGGCTGCAGAGTTCGGAATTGCTCACAGCATCGTTTCACGACTTTGGAGACAATTTCAAACTACAGGAAAAGCTATCCGGGGGTTTAGTAGTGGTCGTCCACGAGGAACCACACCCGCAGATGACAGGTATATTGCCTTACAGGCCAGAAGAAACAGGTGGCAGACAGCGGGAGAAATCGCTAGACACACGACACAGGCTACTGGACGACCGATATTGCGTTTTACCGTGGCCAGAAGACTGCACGGTGGTGGTCTGTTTGCACGACGCCCTGTACGGTGTGTACCTCTAACGCCTGCCCATCGGAGAAGACGTTCTCTGTGGTGCCGGGAACACCGGAATTGGAGAGACAATGAATAGGGACGAATACTCTTTACAGATAAGAGCAGATTCAGTTTGAGTAGCGATTCTCATCGCATACTCATTTGGAGAGAGCGGGGAAGCCGCAATCATCCCTCGAACATCATTGAAAGGGACAGGTATGGAGGTGGCGGTGTTCTCGTTTGGGGAGGCATCATGCTTGGTAGTCGTACAGACCTTCACATCTTCGACACAGGTGCAGTCAACGGGACCTGTTATTGTAACGAGATTCTTCTTCCATATGTGCGTCTTTTTAGAGGCGCTATGGGTCCGCAGTTCCTTTTCATGGACGACAATGCACCATGTCATCGCACAGTAGCTGCCGAACAACTCTTAGAGAGTGAGGATATTGAACGTATGGATTGGCCGGCACCTTCTCCGGATCTCAATTCCATCGAGCATGTATGGGATTTTCTAGGCAGACTCTTGGCAGCTCGTACCTTACCACCAGTAACGATTCCGGAGCTTCGATTGGCGCTGCAAGACGAATGGGCAGAAATGCCTCAACAACTCATTGACACCCTCATTCTCAGCATGGGCAGACGCTGTGAAACCTGCCTAGCAGTCAGGGGAGATCATATCCCCTATTAAAGACCGGATGTTTATTGCTGGACACCCAGCAGAGGGATGTTTCGGCCTTCAGTCGCATTGCGCTCCATGCTACTTTTTCAATAAAGCTTCTTTTTATCCCTCTGATTTCTCTTTTAGTTAGTGCTGCTTACATTACTCATGTCCTTACGTATTGGGGATCTTACGGTATTAAATGTGTTGATTTGGAAAACTTTTGTACAAAGTTATATTGAAAGAACCGTCTCGTCCTTAATTTTTGCACACCAGTGTATGTTCAAAAATACGGATACTTTCAGAGATGGTCATCTATAGAAGAAAATCCCTAGGAATTTCTCCTATAAATGACCACCAGGAGTTCATTGCATTATTTTTAGTTAGCTGCAATTGTATCAACATTTGCAACAAAATAATTCTAAAATTTATCACAATAAAACAGATTTGGTTTACCTAAAATCGGGATAAAAGAATCGGTTAGGTATTGGTTTAATCAAAGCATGCAGTGCTTTAAGGGTAGGGATAATTTCTTGGAAGACACTCTTCGGAGAGCGTACTTTTACTCCTGTTACACATGGGAAAAACCACGAAAACATCCACAAAAAAGAGTTCGTTTGGGAAAATTCAAACTTGGGTCAAACTACCTGTGTTTAGAGGTTTAATCGTTCTAGCGAGCACATGAAAAAATTTAAAACTTGATAAATTTAGACTTAGTGCAACAATACGAAGAATGCCCAGAAATGGCAAACTTACGTTAGTAAAATCTGCTTTTCAATGGAAATATAAATATGAAGAAGCAAATGTTGATAATAGTTCAGAAACTGAAAATGGTATTTCATGAAATACTGCTTAAAGAATTAAGAAAAGGAATTCACAAATTCAAATTTTTGGAGAAATTTATTTAAATTTTCCCGCACATGCAAAGTAAAATCAGAAAATACCAAAATGAGAACCATCCTCGCGTTCTGCAGTACACATTTTACGATACTTTTTCAGTATCCGCATTTGCGGTTTTAACAATTGGCACGTTTTTGGTGTAATATCGACTGCCCGCCAAGAACAGCCAATCTACGGAAACGCTTATCAATGCACGTTTATTAGCATGCACATGTGGCTTTATACACTTTAACCGTCATTTCTCTGAATATTAACAATCGGTCGGGAAAAGGTACATTGCAGGGGGAAAAAAAAAAAAAAAATCTACTGGGCCGATTGACGAAATTCAACTGGCGTTTTTCATGTCTCGAAAGTGCGACTTTAGGATATGTATTAGATTTATATATAGCATTGTTCTAATATAGGCATTTTGACACAAAATCGGACTTTTTCTGAAATGACATGCCAATCTTCTTTCATAGTTCGATTCTATGATTCAAATTATGCCAAACTGCTAAATCTTGTAAAAAACGCACCAGTAGGTTTTCAAAAATCAGCTCTCAAAATTTTACTTCCTCAATGTTAATTTAATTTTAAACAAATTTATTAATAATATCTTTTTTTTATTATACTTGATTCCTTCTTACAGAATTGGTAATTTAGGCTTAATCCAAATATAATTCGCAGATTTTTTTTTGTGATTTATTTTTAAAATTTATGTTTTTAAATACTATTATAAATTTTTCGAAAAATTTTTTGTATTGTAACCTAAAAACTTTTAACACCATCGTGAAGTAGATGTATTTCTAAGCATACCCGCAAAAAATTACAGGTTTTTATTTAGAATTTCCTAAGATATATGTGAATTTATATACTGGCGTGTTTTGAAATTTGGCATATTTGTTGAAAGAGATAAAACATCAAATGTGGTTTAGATTCTTTGCTAAAATTATCTGGAAGTAGAAACAATGTGAATTTTTCCGCTCATACACAATGTAAAAATGTAGGAACGAGGTGCCTTTTTCCGGAATAATGAAGGGAAAGAAAAATTGATTGCCATATATTAAGAAGCTCGCCTAGTAAATTATTCTTGAGGAAAACTGAAAAAATTGTGCCAAGATAAATTTTTGAGTTTCTCCGTAAATTTCGCACCAAATTCTACAGAATGTAATACCTATGCATAGTTTGAGTCGTAGAATCGAAATATTAAAAAAAAATTGGTATGTTATTTCAGAAAAAGTCCGATTTTGTGTCAAAATACCTATGTTAGAACAATGCTACATATAAATGTACTATATATCCTAAGTTGCATCCATGTGTAACGTGTAAGCGATCCAGTTTCCTTTAGAAAGCTCTCCACGAAGGCATCCCTCCCTTCAGGCAGATAGCCTTCGTATGCTTTGCCATAATTTAATAATCCAATAATCCAATCCTAAGTTGCGCTTTCGAGACATGAGAAATACAATTTGAATTTTGCTAGTCGGCCCAGTAGAACGGGAGCTACAGAACTGTCCCGTTTTTTTTTCGCAGTTACTTTGCATAAAATGTTTTCATTTACTCCCCAAAATTATTATAAAATGTTTCTTTTTTTTCTTATTATTTATGAACAGAACAATACCTGTCACTTGGGCTGAACTCAGACCTTTAGAGTTCCCAAGGACTTAAAAGTTTTTGTGTAAGTATATATTTATACCAGTTTTCCTCCCATTCCTTCATTATCGATCTTGTTTATATTTGCCGTATATTCAGTAGTAAAACCAGCAAATGAAATGTTTTGTGGTGCTTCCTTCCTTATCTAAAGTCCTCAAAGAACATTTTTTGTTGCCCCAATCATGTGCTTAGTTAACAAATTGTTAATCTAGCTCTGCCTAATTGTTAATCTAGCTCTGACAAACATTTCTAGCCAATTCACAAAGCCACCAATGAGTGTGCGACATTTCGATAAATTTTGGCGCAAACAAATTGTTATATCGGCGCCAAACAGGTTATATATAAGTTATAAGAATTCTTGAGCATCCTGCCCGTCTTTCAGGAAGCACGGAGTTTGACATATTAGATTTGTGTTATAGCTTATAGTTCTTAAATGTAAGAAAAGACAAACATGTTTCAGAAAATTCTTAGGCGCTTATTTCTAAAGAAGAAAGAAGTTGACAATTCCATTTTTCAACTTTGTTACAAATGGACGGTTTGGAAGCTTGCTGTTTTTAGTTTTATCGTGACTTGCAGACTTTTTCTTGGCGATTCTTTCGAATGTATCATATCAACTGATACAACACCTTCGAGTTATATGGAGACCAAATGCTATGCCGATACTGTATTCTCATTACCTGTTCAAGAAATGTATACGAAAGGTTCTCCAGTTATTCGACTAGGAAGTGAGTACAAGCGATATCAAACATTTTATTCTTGGGTGAATTTATTTCTTCTCTTACAAGCTTTTAATTTTTATCTGCCTCATCTGTTCTGGAAGTCATACGAACTAGGATATACAAAATACCTCAGCAGTGGTATTAAGGATGGCTTCTCCTTCGATGAGAAAACATATAAAGAATTGTGTTACTTGACCAGCTATATCCTGAATACTCTAGGGAAATATAAAATGTACACAAGTTTGTACATCTTTTTTGAAGTTTGCAATTGCGTCATTTCAATTACCCAAATTTACTGTCTGATTACCTTCTTCGATATAACAGGAATTCCAGATGGTCTGCCGATTTCTCTCACGACGTGGTCAGATTTCCAAAAATTTTATTTTCCACCATCGGGTAATTGCCTTGCCACCAAAATTAGTGCTACAGGCAATGTAACGAAGTTTAATGCTGTTTGTATCTTGCCTCTCAACCAACTGTACATGATGTTGTATCTGTACCTCCTTGTTTGGTACGTACTTTTAAGCATTCTTTGCGCGATTGTGTTGATTTATCGAGTAGCTTTGTTAGTTCGCAAACTAAGAGTGAAAGTAATCCAGATCTTAGTCCCATTGGCTGAAAAAGAGACTATAGAAGTACTCTTTTATGGTTTATCATATTCTGATTTTATCTTTTTGACAAGGCTCCGGAAAACCATGACAGATGTCGACTTCACACAGATGCTGGAGAAGATATATATAACATATAAATGCACACAGAGAGATGAAAATGAAGACCACCAGAGTTTGCCTCCTGCAGAAGTCCATAATCAGGTAAACAGCTCATCACGAGCATCTACAAGGTCTGTTGCATCTCAGCATAAAAGTGTGAGAAAGCAATCTAGAATCCTTTAATATTTCTTTAATGCTCTACAAACTCGAGCTACTATTTTAAGAGCAACTAATTGCAGAGGTTTTATAAAGAATGCTGTATAGTTATTCATGCAAATATATTAACTACAAAAGATTTCTTCTTGCAATAAGTATACGCAAACAAAATGTCTTATTACTTGTGCATTTGCGTTTGATCAGGATATACTTTAATATAATCAACAGAGTTTTAAACAGAGTTTATATTGTGAAAATTTTATAGAAGAAACAATGAGAAATATCATGAAAGAAATATTGGGAAAATTTTTAAATATAAACTTTCTTAATTTTTTAGAAATAAACATCTTAGCTTTTAGAAAATACACAGTACAAGAGTATATTTTATCGTTATTTTATACTGTTTTATGTATATGGTTTTGCAAGAACATGTGTTTATATATAAGAATTTGTGCACACGCATGTTCTTCGATTTACAAAGAGTGGTTGTCTTTTCCAGTTATAATACAGTTACACATTTATCTTTTATATTTTTATTTCTTTAATGCATTTAACATTGCATGAGAGAGTTTAGCGAAAACAATTATGAAGTGATTTATTTTTTAAAGTTAATGTTCGCTTTCGAAATTATTTAAGTACGATACGAAAGTACGAAATAAAATATTTATACTATAAAAATCAGACAATTTCCTTTACAAGGCAATATACGCCAACCAAGTTCCTCTAGACTTGATATTCCCGGCAATAAAACATGTTTTCGTTATAACTTTATTTTCAGTTGTTATAAAATTGTTCTATGCATAAGAAATGGGTACTATTCGGTTTCGAGGGCCGTAAAAAATCGCCAAACTATTGTTGATGCCAATGCGGCAAAAAATATTTGCGGCAACCATAATCATTGCGGCAAGAAAGGAAGTATAATAGTAAATAACTATCTAAGATTGATGTTTTAATTTAGATGAAATGTTAATTTCATATAATACTTTTTTATTATTATAAATTATATGAAAAAGGCTAAACATGACTGAATGGAAGCATAAGGGTAAATAACTGTTTCAGATCATTATTATAATTTATATAAAAATTGCTAAACATAACTGAATAGATGCTTGCATCGCTATTTCGTTACCGACTTATCGCTAAAGCATAATTTCATCTCGTTCAAACGTAATTTTCTATAATGAATGATGCCTTTTCTTTGAAAATATTCTCGGTAAAGTGCAGAATCGGGTTTAATCCTAGTATCCGGTGCACACGGGATTTGGCTACTTTTGGTGACTTTATGATGAGGAGTAATAACGGGACATATACGATGAGTAGGAAACGGGTTATTCAAAGAATATATATAGTTATACATAGTATATACTATGTATATAGTGATAGTATTTAGTGTATAATATATACATAGACGTTCTTTGGGTCATTTTTGGTGTTGGCGATAAGTTTCAAAATCGCGCCGAGGCTGCACCGTATACTAGGATTTTACCCAGAATCGCTCATTTATTTGTTTTTGTCAATTGAATTTTGTCAATTTTCTTTTTCTTTTACTTTTTAAGTGAAAGTAGGTCGATGTGTACATAGATAAAGTCAAGGGTGTGCGCAGTGCCTTTTGTGCAATTCTAGGATTTTTTTTTTTCAAGTGGAAGTAGGTCGATGTGCACATGGATACCGAGTATGTGCAATTCTTAAAAACGCGTCAAGCAGTGGGTGATTCTGCACTTTACCCAAAATTCTATTGCCGACTTTTCGTCATTGGCCATTTCCAAATTGTTAAATCCATAGGATATCAAAAAAGGATTTAAAAATTAAACTAGTATGTCAATGGCTTCTTAAAAAATGTAGAACTATAAAAACTTACGCAATCTGAAATCAACGCGTACGCTAGATTTGGCGCGTTTGCGCATTCATTTTCGCTGCAATTTTTTACGGCTCTCAAAACCGAATAGTACCAAGCCATGTATTGCTTAAGTTAGTTACTTCAATAAACAAAAAAAAAAAAAAAAAAAAAAAAAAAAAAAAGAAAGAAACAGAATGGGTCATTCAAAACAACTTATTGACAATAGTTACTTTGAAAATTAGAACATTGCTATAAAAGATAAAGGCAATACATTTAATTTAGCGTTGTCCAAATAGGCAATGTTGGCGCATTTATCTTTCGCATTGTCGCATGTTTGGCGCATGCTGTGCTTCGGCACCAATACGCTGACTTAGCCCAGTTTCATTTTAAATACATACAGAGAAGTTTTTACAAGTAAGTACGTTGAATATGTACAGTAATCCTAATTTTGTTTATTGTCGAGGGTAACTATAATAAACAGATCAATGCAGCACGCTTGATCAAATTAAAATAATTTCGAGTCTAATCAAATTAAAATTTTCCAAAATTAAAATAATAGGTGGGGGGGGAGGAGTGACGTGTAATCGGTTTTTCATTAAAATAGCCATTAAATAGTTCCAGGAATTAGAAGCAGTGTAAAATAATTCTATTTACAAACAGAAAAGGAGCCTGATGTGGATATTAAATGTATCGCAGCGTGAGAAAGATTAAATACAAAAGAACTTTCTGATTTTTTTTAGAATTTTTTAGAACTGCTTTTTATCTCTAAGGAGCAAAAGATTCATAAAATTAAAGAATTTTTTTGTCAGTTTCATTAAATTTTATGAGTACGGTTTATAATGATTCATGACTTTTCATTCTCTTTCATATGAAATGAAGATAGTAAGAAGTTCCATATGTTTCCCATTCGAAATACAGGGTTTTTATATTAATGAGAATTTTTAATGGCTAAAAGATAATTGTCTGTTTGTTAAACAACCGTAAAGAAATCCTAAGTTTTACTAGCATTTTTTTATCGTATATAATTCTGTTCATCGTATTTTAGTAAAGAATGTATAAAAGCTTCGAATTTACATAGGCAAAATATTTTTTAATTAAAAAATTTTAAAAAATATCTGTAGGTTGTTTTAAAAATTCTTTCAAGAAATATTAAAAATATTAATTTGATTTCAACTTTATAGGATTTATTAACAGTGCACCTAATAATGGTCGAGCTGAATAAAATCGCTGAACACTGGCAGTTCATCAAACAAATTCTACTGCACAGGGTTTGATTTTCTCCAAATAATCTTGTACAAGGCAGAATCCAAGATAAGCCATGTGGTACGATCGTTGATGTATTTCAGTCCGGTTCTATCTACGAGAACAGAGTATCTGCATGGTCATTTTTGGGTTTTTCTTATGTTTAATGTGATTCCGTATTGGCTTCACATAAAAAGGCCCTACAGAAAACAAACTTTCCCGTAGGCATTTGCTCTCGTGTGCTTTTGCTTTAATCGTTTAAGCTAACCATATCTCTTGAAGAAAGGGAACATACGTATTATCGCAATTACCTTAATAAAAATCGCCAAAGCTTCAGAATAGACTAAACTTTGGTAACCACGTACATAACAATTATTCAGGCAACCATGCGCACGACAGATATTCAGTTTCTCACATCGCCCTTTTCGTACGCATTCTTTTTGTTGCATTTCAAGTTCCAACGACTTCTATAGAAAATACATGATTATTTTTTGTCTGAAACTCAATTTTACAATTTATGCTCGTCGAATTTTCCTATAACAGAACAAAGACAGGTGAAGTTTCTGCACGAATATATTATTTTGTCGCAAAATCGCTAAACGAAGAATGCTTCGAATTCTTTCTCAAAACGATTGCTATGAAATTTCCGCAACAAAAACCTATTTATAACTAATTTTACTACTTGCCTCTTGAAATAAATATATAGTTGAAACTTTGAATATGTATGCAATATATAATTTTTTATAATAAAAGTAATTGTCCTTTTTCATTCGTAAAATTTATCCAAATTGCGCCAAGGGGTTGCAATGATACGTAAGTACCGAAGAAAGTTTGAAAAAATTAAAATCCAAACTTGAATAATTAGGAAAAAGAATAATTTGTTTGAATATTAAACGCTATAATCTAACTTTCATATGTTTATAAGTACTCAAAAATTCACAAATGTCGTTGCAAAACTGAGTGTTTAAAAATACCTGGACTGAATCCTAGGCATTATGTACAATGGCATAGATATTTTCATGACTACTGAGGACAGTAAAGAAAGGTGTTTTCTAAAGTATTTAAATTTTTACATTCATATACTGATTTTTATCGCTTTCTGCTTTAAATAACAATTTACAGTACATTAAAACGACGCTTTGAAGGAAGTTAAATTTTTTTTACCAAGAAATTGATAAAAATTTAAACCTATTTTAAATAAACTGCAAATTAACATAGTCAGGTAAAGTTAGATTAATATAATAAAACACATCCTAGTATTACAAATAAGATTTCATGCCGAATTTTTAGCCACTTGCAAAATGTGCTAATTCTATTTACCAGCCAGTTGCCGAGTGGTAAGATCACTGAATACTGGTAGTTCGACTCGGGTTCAAAACCCGTAAAACGGGTTGACAGCATGAGTATTTTCATGGTTTTTTCTGTGCATTGTGAATACCAGTCAGTTTTGCCCGGCGAGTCGTCCTCCACGGATGTACAGTGGGTACAAAAAGTATTTGCACACATACATTTTTGTTCACAATTTATAAGAAAATGAATTAAGAAATACAAAAATTGGCATTTAAAACATAGAATAAGCTTATTCATTTAAATTAATTACAAAAATACAATAATATTAATAAAAAATTTTTTGCAACAATATTAAAATAGCTTATGTCAAAAAAGTATTTGCACACTCAACTCAACTTTAGCAAATTTGCATTTTTATGCTATTATTTGACAGTCATCCCGCAGTAAATAACATACGTAAGACGACTATAAAAGGAGGTGTTGTCGAAACGTTATCAGTTGATTGTCGATTCAAATTGTAATGGCACCTAAGAAATCTGAATTGCCGATTTCGTTGCGAGAAAAAATTGTTTCTCTACGTGAAAATGGCCTAAGTTATCGAGAAATAGGTAAAAAAGTAAATGTTTGCTTCTCTACTGTTCGGTATGTTATAAAACGTTATAAAGAAAGAGGATCTACATCAAATAACTTGCGCTCTGGACGCCCAAAGAAACTTTCACTGCGAATGAAGCGAAAAATCATAAGAGAAGCATAAAAAATCCATTTGTTAGTGCAATTACTTTAGCCAATGATGTCGCTTCAACATCTGGAGTTCAAATCCTGTGCCCAAAGTGTTCGAAATGTCCTGCACGATGCACACATTTATGGGAGATCACCAAGGAAAAAAAACCTCTCATAACTGAACGAAATAGATCTGAAGAGACTTGAATTCGCTAAGGAATATATCAATAAGCCAATTGATTTCTGGAAAAATGTCATATTCTCCGACGAGAGTAAGTTCAATATCTTTAAATCAGATGGCAGGAAAATTAGTTTGGAGAAAACCTTGTACTGCTTTTCATACCAAAAATGTGTTACCTACAGTTAAACATGGAGGAGGTTCTGTTATGATTTGGGGGTGCATGGCTAGCAAAGGAGTTGGTAATTTGTGTTTTCATTGATGGGAATATGACAGCTCGAACCTATATTGATGTGTTGCGAGATAACTTTGCCACAAAGTGCAATAAAATTGGGTATCAGTAATTCGTACTATTTTCAGCAAGACAATGATCCCAAGCAACACTGCCGGTATAACACGTATGTGGTTGCTTTATAATGTACCCAGAAAACTTGCCACTCCACCACAATCACCAGACTTAAATCCTTTGGAAAATTTGTGGAATTCTTTGGATTTAAAAATAAGAAAAAGGAAGATTTCAAGCAAATCTGCCCTTATTGAAGAGTGGTCGAATACTGACCCTACTGTTACAGAAAATTTAATTAAATCAA